ATATCTAGAGAGAGAGAGAGAGAGAGAGGGAGAGAGAGAGTACACTGTATATTCTTGTCTTCTCTCTTATATATGTATTATGGAAGGAGACTTTTTAGATAGGTTTACATGATGGGGTAGGTAGTTTGACACTGGTTGCCTGAATGCTGTACCCAATGGCTGCACAGTCCACAATGCAGAGACCTAGAAGCTCCCTGGAGAGTCACTGGTGCTGTTTACATAGGAAGGTCAAAGAAGCTGGAATCTGAAGTCAAAAGATGATGGTGTCAGTATCTCAGGACTATTCATTCAGGAAGAAAAAGGTGCAGGCAGGTGGTTGGGCAGGCAGGTGGGGAGGCAACTCTGCTTTTGCCTTATATAGCCCAAGTAAGGTGCTGCCCATTGTTGATGCCCATTATTGATCATTTAATCCTTTCTGTAAACACCCTCACAGACACACCCAATGGTGCATCTCCCAGGCTTATTCTAAATCCCATCAAGTTGATGAAGAAGAGCAACCACCAGCACCGGTGACATTAACTACTGACTTTACAGGCTAAAAGCTATTCGGGAGCTGTCACTTAGGAAGCCGGCTGCACTGGGAGCAGTGGTTTGCAAGGAGCTATGGTCAGAGGATCTTTGTCCTGTGATGCATTACACGGTGTTTGTGATGGAAGTTCAGATTGTGGCTTGGGTATGCTGAATCAAAAGAGGCTAGAAGCATGTAATGCATGTTAAGAAGGTCTTTGAAAATTCTGTATTATTTAAATCAAGTTAGCTTTAGGACTTAACCGCACTTTTGTGTTGTCAACCATAGACTTTCATGCTTGAATTAATTGAGATGAATGATGTTAGTGTTTTTATATAACACGGAAAGCTGAGAGAGGATATGTATTAACCCTGTGGTTCTTACACTCTTGTTAACTTTGAGGTTCTCTTTTACTTCGTGGTCCATTGGCCACCAGTCTGGGAGAACAAAGGGGTAGAAGGCTTTGTATGGCCTGGGAACACAGCAGATTGTCTTCTAAGAGACAGCTCAACTTTATTCAAAGAATGAGAACAGTGGCTGGGGCATCACCTAATTTGCATTAAATAGCATGTTCCTATCCTAAAGCTCCTAGCACAATGTCTAATTATCATATGGGCAGCAGGGGAAATCTTCTGCAGGGAACTGTGTCAAGGGTCACACTAGAGATAAGTTAAGCACCTGGGCCTAGAGATACTCACCGAATAAAGTCAGATAGAGAGCAGGAAGGCCCTCTGCCGAGAGGGTGTTCTCCATATTGCCTAGCTTGGAAAGAGCTGCCAGGCCATGGTAGACTGCAACCTTTGACCAACACAGTCTCTCAACATCAGACAAGATCCTTTATTCTAGAAATAATTTTGATGTCGAATTGTGGTATTGGACCAAACCAAGCCCTCTGAATGTGGGTGCCAGCTAGGAGGCCAAAACAGTCTATGGGACCTCTAACAGTGGAGCCAGCCTTTAACCCTAGAGCACAAATGGACTTTGGGAGCCCATTCCCTCTGGAGGGATACTATTGCAGCCCAGATACAGCAAGGAGGGCCTAGGCCCTTCCCCAAATGATATGACAGACTATGAAGGTCCCTGATGGAGGGCCTCACTATCCCTGGGGAGGAGTTTGGGTATGGGTTAGGGGGCATTGGTGAGGGACATGGGAGGATGGGAGGTCGAGGGAATGGGGGGTGGATATGTAAATATGAGTAGTAATTAAAGAATTGAAAAGAAAAGAAAAGGAAAGGAGGAGGTGTGTATTATGGTTTCAGTGAGTACACAGGACTTCCTGAGTCTAGCCAGAATTCTCCTTCCTAACCTCCACACAGTGCTGGAGAAACAAGGTTACTTTGTATGAGTAGTGCATTAGTCTCATTAATGAAAAAAAATTGGAAATGGAATTGGAAGAAAACTGGAGGACAGCTTTATTAGAATTTGTGCATAAAACAATAGGCAAGCAAACTCTAAACCTTGGACAAGCAAACTCTGTACCTTGGACAAGCAAACTCTAAACCTTGGCAACTGCCTGGAGGAGGGAGATGGAAAATAGGAAGAAAACCAGCCTGTTTTGCAATGAAGGTCAACAAGCAGCTGCATGGTAGAAGTGTGGGATTTTAAAGAAAACCCAGAGCATTAGGGAAAGCATGTGTATGTCTCTGGAAAGGAACTGAAAAAGATGGAAAGTGAAGACAAAGCTACAGTTTTGGAGCTCAGGAAATTGTACAGGCTTAGTAGTGCCTCATGTGATAAGTAGCTGTATCAGAGGCGAGGCTTCTGAGAAGTACATTCTCATTAAAGGGATAATTATTCCTCCCATCTCCTTAACATGTGTTTAGATGAATCCATTTTCCTGAGAGGTAGAATCATGGCCAGGTGATTGACAGGTCCAGTTGGAATAGCGTTTTAAGAAGGTAGAAAAGAATGTGTCATATATAGATATAAGGAGATGTAGTCTACCTTCCAAACAGATTGGAAAGCCATGTTGCCAACAAAAGCAGGAGACAGAACTCAGGTTTTGTTCTTTTGAGCTTGAGGAGGTAGCTTTCACTTAATGGGCCTCTGTCAAGCTTGGTATCTCTGCCTTTTTCCATGTGGTCTCTTTAGAGATAAATGGGGATGGTTGTGATATTTCTGGGGTCCAAAGTGAATGACGAGGAAGGAGTCCAACCTCAGTGACCTAGGAGCCTGCTAATTCCTAGGAGACACAGTGGCTTCTTAGAATCCCTGGTGTTCTCTAGACTAAATAAAGAGGACAGTACGGCACAGCGGCAGAGGAGTCCATAAGTGTTTGCCCACTTTGAGTAGTGTTGTGTGGCATGTGTGCGATGTAATCTATTAAGGACTGGAGTGGGGGACGGGACAGACAAGTATCAACTCCAGTTTCCTAGGCTTCGTGGTAACTCTCATTAGCAACGTGACTCCAGTGTCACAAACACTTCCTGCAGGTGATCCCATGCAGAGATCTGACCAGGGTATCCATAGAGAAGGAGGGGTGGCCATTTGTTTATGATCATTCTAGTTATGAAAATTTGCAGTCAGATTTTATTACTGCTGCTGCTGTTTTTGTGAGGACTACCATTACTACCCTTGCAGTCACTACTGTTTCATATTCTTCCACTCATGGCTGTGTGTATTCCTCTTCCTCTTTGTCTTCTTTCTTCCTATTCCTCCTCTGTTTTGGTTGTAGAGCAAGACAATTTCAACAACATCCCTTAAGTGTCTTGGTCTCCCTTATCTTTTGTTGTTTGAAAAATCAGTTAATTGTCAAACATTATACTATGTCGCGCTAGGAAGCTCAAAGCCAAGAGGAGACCCCACATTTAGAATCCATTAGCAAGTTCAAGCAATGAGGGAGGTAACCCATTTAGAGTCCGCAACCACAACTCCAAGTGTAGTAGCTGGTGACACAGTTCTCACTGCTGTCCACAGAGGCAGATGTCCAGTGTTGTTGAATGATTGGACCATAGAGGAATTAGAAGGTGACCATTTCTTTCCTTCTGCTCCTCCAGCATCCCCAGGGCTGTCTACAGTCCATCCCTCGAGGGCCCTTTCTCTGCAGAAGCAGTGTTATGTGTGTTCCTCTCCTGTCTGCTCTACTGGGCTCCATTGTCCTTCCTCAGCAAGCCACTCACCAGACACAGGTTACCATCAGTCTACATTGATACTATCCAAATGTACAGGGACTCCCAGCCTTTCCCACATGGGTTCTTTGGAGTCTCTTGTTACTGTGAGTTTCTGTGCTCAAAATGTGTTCGGTGTCTTGGGTAATACATAGTTTTTTAGTACTAGGTTCAAAAAGAACTGGCTCAACATGAAGAATAACAACTAACCCATCGAGTGATTTGTTAATTACTTGATTCCAGCTCATCATCTCAGGGAAGGAAACACTGGTTTAAAGACGATCCGTTGGGGGAAAGTAGATATTTACAGTATTTAGAACGTCTAAGATCCTTACTGCATTTCCTGTCATGTTGGTTACTACCGCCAAACAGAATTATGAAGGCGGCTCTTCCTTCAGGCTCCTCCTTGTAGAGGGCCATGCTCATCCTTAGCAGAGCCTCCAGATGATGCTGGCAGGGATGACATCTGGAGCCCACTCAGTCATCCCTCTACTTGCACCACGTTGGGGTTTTTGATTTTTGGAGACAGGCTAGACCCCAGGAAGCTTTGCTTTGTGAATTTTTACACATGTGACCAAGGTTATCAAGGCCACATTTTATGATACTTAGGAGCCAGGCATATTGGGTGTGCTGTGGCCTAATTGGCAGGCCTCGGGCAGGTCACTCACTAACTGTGCTCGGGTTTTCTCATCTGTGTAGCGGGGAAAAGGACTGTCTGTACTTCATAGGGCTGCACAAGTTAAGTGCATTATCATCTGTGAAGTGCCCGTGGGGACAGACAAGACTTATCATCTTACTACAGATGTCTGCTGTCCTTGTTGCTACTTACTGTTGTTCTTCTTGTTAGCTGAATGTGAAACCAGACATAATCTCCCACCTGAAGATTTGAGTAGAAAACCAAATAGCACCGTGTAGATTTGTGTCTAGAACAGAAACCTAAAGTGAGCAGCCATTGAAATATAGCCTCTGATAGTAAGGATGGGATGCTTGATTCGTACATTGAACATAAGGAAGAATGTTGCCTCTGTCCCTCAGTGGTGCAAATGAAATGTCAAAGCAAAGTGTGAAAAAGTTAGAAAAACTTGAGGACAATGCTTTCATTGTTCAACTGTAACATTGAAAACTGATATAATAGAATGTAATACAGGGTTTGGCTTATATTACAAGCCCTATTTGTAACAGGTAGTATTGTTGTCGTATTTGGAAGAGGCCATCTAGGTCTTGGGTAGATAGTTATCTTGACATGTTTGGGGATTTTTCAATTTGCTTAGTAACAGAAGTGATTACAATTTTGCTTGGTTTCCCGAGTCTCTCTTTTATAGCAGGGAAGTCTCCAGAATAGCTCACTAACGTATCTTTCCTGTATTTTGAATTGACTGTTGTAGAAATCCGCTCTCAGGAGGAAATGCGCGGTCTGCAAAATCGTGGTCCACACTGCCTGCATTGAGCAACTAGAGAAGGTAAGAGAGCGCCACCTGCTGATAAATGTACTTAGTGCAATGATTTGCCAAGATTTGGTGTCAATTTTTAACTTTTTAAAAACAATGACCTTAAAAACAAAAATGAAATCTGTGAATTCAGTATGACTACTGGAGTAACAATGAAAACGAAACATACAAGGTCACTCATTCTTTTGTCCTCCTAAGTTTAATTTGGTATTGTGTTGACTTCTGGGAAAGCCTAGCACACACCAATTCTCTGTTGCTTCTTCCACAGCATGTTTCCTTTAAGGGGAAAAAAATACATGCAATAAGCTTTTTAATAGCGAAGCTTCCATATGTCTCCCTTTGTGAGTTCACGTCTTCCTAAAGTAGCTCTAAGGGAGAGAGCCAGGCCAGCTGAAAGCGGCTCTCAGACTCCACCGCAGACCTCACGGGCAGCGTTTTTTGCTGGCTCAGCATAACCGTGTGGCTGAGCTGGAAGTGGCATCCCAGGGGTGATATCTTGTCTCCAGAAGTGGATCTGAATAGTCTATTTATCAATTGGGGGAAGGGAAGGTATCTAATAGAAAGTTGCCTGCGGCTCTCGTTTGTAATTCTTACTCTGTGTCCAGGCGAGACCCTTTGTGGTATATAGACTCCCATGCTGCCGTTTGTAAACATAGTGGGGTTATTTTAGCTTCCTGTAGTATTTGCTTGGCTTCACCAACACCACCGGCTGCTGTCAGTTTATATCTTACAGCCGTGGGTAACACTTTGAAAGTATTCTTTCTCGCCTGCACTCTGCTTCACTTTATACAAGAAGCAAAAGTGGCCACGAGGACATCTTCCAGCCACAAAGCAAAGCAGTGCTGAGTCCCTTACAGGGAATTATCTGTGCATGTGCTTGGTTATCACAGCAGTTAGGGTCTCCCAGGTTTATATTTTCTACTTTTAAAAATCTAACTCCACCGGATGGGTTCGGCTGCCACATGCTTTATCTTTGACTATGATTTCTTCCTCAAATTCACAGGCTAAGAGCATTTTTGTTTAAAGGTAGATTTCATCAATGAGAACTCAGGATGTGGCTGGAGGTATGAAATCACTCAGCACCAATGTGGATTATCATTATACTTTAAGGGAATAGGAATAGACCAAAATAGATGGCTTATTCTTTGTGGGTTTTCTTTTATAGCCTCAGTGTTTACTGCTACTGGTTGTTTTTAGTTTCAGGCAATTCTGTTCAATCTGATGCTTATCAATGTCATAACGTGCTTTTCTTTTCAAATTGCAGATTAATTTCAGATGTAAACCAACATTTCGGGAAGGCGGCTCCAGATCACCAAGAGAAGTGAGTTTTGGGAGTCATTTCAAAACCCTTCTTGAACTCTCATGCATACAGTGACCCTCCAGGGGTTCACCCAGGGTTGACAAAAGAGTTCTTTCTTCCTTCATTACACAGCAGTTTCTTCTTGAAGTACCAATAAGGACAAGGACTCTCCAAGTCCCTTCGGCACACTGCCGAGGTCTTAATGAATGAAACAGAAAAGTAGAGGTGGGGGAATGGTAGGACTCAATGGGTAAGACTTGTGTGTGTGTGTGTGTGTGTGTGTGTGTGTGTGTGTGTGTCCTTATTATTCTAGGTAGTCTAGAATCAGGCCCCAAATTGTACTCTCTAATCCACAAGACAAAAGCTGCCAAGCTACAGCGCCAATCCTCCTTAGGGGGCAGTGTGGTGTGCCCTGGTGCTGTGCACTGTGTCCCAAGCACTGTTGGCTTATATTTCCTCTTCAAGAATAAGAATTCTTGGTAAGTGTGCTTCCCCACCTTAATTGCATTCCTAGTGAGACGAGTTTCAGTTCCACTTAGAGATTTACCCCTGGGAAACCTTCCCAGCCAATGCACTCCTCAAAACAGCCCTGTGTAACAGTGTGTGTGTGTGTGGGGGGGCAAATTGGTCAGATGAAGGGCTTCCTGGAAGATGCAGGCACTAGCTGGTTCTTTCAGGAGGGGTCTAAGGCAAGAGGTGAGACGTGATAGACACAAACCGACAACCATCTAGACAGAAACCACAGCAGCACACAGGCACAGATGAGAGATATTAGCAAGATGTGTGACTTGGGAGATGAGTAAGAACTAGCCAGGCTAGAAGTAAGTCATAAGGGATTTGGAAGTGGGCATTGCTCTGTTTAAATAGAATATATTATGCCAACTGCAGTGTGGAGGGAAAATCATGTAGTTCGGGGCTGACACTACTGGGGACATAGAGACAATCTGAGCAGCTCTTGCCATAGACTGGTTAAGATGTGATTGCATCTGAGCTAAGAGAAACATGGTACCGTGACATGAGTTTAAAGGGACAAATTGGCAGGATTTAGTAAAGGATGGGTTTGGAGTGTGAAGGTGGTGGTCCTTAGAATAAGTCAAGCTTCAGTTGAGCAAAGCTGATTAGGTTTTGGAAGAAGATGCCTTGAGGATGAGACTGACCTGAGGATTCACTGGGGAGGCAATGAGTTTACTTGTAGACGCATCAGGATTGAGGTGTAGCCTTTGCTGTCGTGGCCCGGCATGTCTCAGTCCCAAACCACAGAAGCCACGAGGTCCGGACTGAGTGGGGGAGCATGGACTTGGAAATTCCTAGCAACCCAACAGTGATAAAGACCAGACACAGGCATCTTGTCATCTTTGGAGAGCTCTCAGTTCCATGCTGCAAACTGCAGTCTCCCATTTATACCAGCATCTTCCTCAACTGCTTTCTAACCGTTCCCTCGTGATAACAGAGACCATTCCTTTTTAACCTCTCTCTAGACCCTCTCAGCAGATACCTCAAAAACAGTCTCTCCTCACTTAGATGGAGCCCTCTGCCCTGGTAAAGGCCTATTCAAATGTTTAGTTCTGTAGAGATGTAGGGGACATTCTCCACTGAGGCTATGCCATTCAACAGCAAATCAGCTAGCATCTGCAATACAATGGAAACTAGAACTCCCAGATACTGGAACCGGAGGTCTGGACCCGGAAAAAGTCTCTAATAGCATAATTTTCAGCTCCTGACATTTTGCCCTGAGATGGATTTGCCCAGCACCTATCTGTGTGATGTGTTTGTAAAGAATGGTAAGTTATCTGTGAATGGATCAGCACATACAGAGACTTTTACTGTGAGACTAGAAAAATGCATATGTGAACACAGAGAAGATAGCCAACATTTGAAACATAGTGGAGAAGACATTGTATAGGCCAGACAAGCTAGGGTCAGAAATCCGGGAGGCTGGGATAGGAGGATTGCTTGAGTTTAGGAGTTTGAGGCTAGTCTGGACAATATGTGAAATGATGTCTCAGAAACAAGAAAATGGCAAAAGAAGCGTAATGTGTTATTAAGTGAAAGCAAGAGGATCGAGAGACATCAGGGTAAGAGGGTGATGGGGAAGTTTGGAAGTGGTTGTGGTGGGGAGAGGAAACTGCAACCCTCCCATGAGTCCGTTTCTCCCAGTGTTTGTCCAATATGGCAATAAGAGGTGAGGGAAACATAGAAACGTGGTGGTGGTGTTCTGCCCTTGGTTCTATCCTGCTGAGTCGCAGTGCTGGATGGAAGGTCACAGCTCAAATGAAGGTGCTTTCCTTATGAAGGTCACGGGAGCACTTTTGTGTTCCTAAATTGGAGGGAGTGAATTTCCGACCAAGGTGTGTGTGTGTGTGTGTGTGTGTAGTTGATTTCCTGCCCTTCTCTCTGTCTTTCTCTCTACCCCTCTCTCAGTTATAACTGTATATAAAAATGTCTCTGCTGCAAGTCTCGAAAAATGTTTTCATTGGCTGTAATACTTTTCTCCAAAGCTGGACTTTCTATGAAAGTCTTGTCAAGGACTGGATCTCTCTTCCGTTCCCGACTTCCAACCCCCACCTTCCCCTATCTAGAATATTTCCAGCAACTAAAGTGTGACACAATAGTTTCCAACTGAAATTCAAAAAGAAAAACACTAACATTCCTTACTGTGTCTTAGCTACCTCTCTGATGTTCAGTTCAGTGTTCATGGCTAAGCTTCCAGACACGGTTATCTGTATTGATTATCTTTAGTATGCCATCTTCTAGTACATTAACCTGCTCTTGTCTGGTTTATTCAGTCTGCTTTCTGAAATTGTGTCTGTCCCTGTTGGCTAATGATCATAGGAAATCCAGTAGGTATTTTTCTGTCCTTATCCAATCTCTCAAGAATACTCAAAACATTCACACAGTCCGTTCTTCCTGACTCCCAGCAGGGCTCTTTCATCTCTTTTGGACTTTTCCCCTTCCTTGGCCCTCCCTGTCAGATCTCAGTGCCTCTCCACCAGCCTCTGCATCTCTGCAGGCCCCCTGGGTTTAGCACTTGTCTGTATTCTCTAGTCTCTGCCTGCTGTCATCAGGAGAGCTGACAGCCCCTGCCTTTACATTTATTTCCAGTTCACATTCTTGAGATTCCATTTGACATGTCCGCTTAATATGTCAAAGTGGTCATCTGAAATACAATAGATCAAAACCCAAACTATTATCATGACCATAAAACTTTTTTCTCCCCCAATCTCTTTTCACCTTATAAAATGAGCTGTCCCATGGAAGACATTGGGGAGAGTGTCCTATTGATTCTTGAGTCCTATTGAACTCAATTGTCAGTTCAGTCAGTTTTATTTATAAATGTATTTCCCATCCATCCATTTACCTGCATGTCTGCTGTCAGCAACTTTGGCTAAGGTATGGATATTTTCCACTTTGACCACTGCTCTAGCTTCTCCATGATTTTCCAGTTACTTCCTCCCACCTACCCATGACTTAGGGAGCATGGTTGTTTTTCTTATTAGAAATCAGACCAGAACATTTCCCACTGGTTTCTTTCTTTCCAAAGACCCATGTAATCTGACCTGGCATATGTCTCAGCCCTTTCCAGCTGCTGAAGGGACATTCTTTAAGTTCCAGAGGCACATGACAAGGTATTCCCCATTCTTGGATACTTAGGTTTTCCATGTCAATATTCCAGATATTTTCAGCTCAAGCATCATATCCTCAGGGGTTGTCCTAGTCAGTCCCGGCTGCTATAACCAAATACCATTGACTATTTCATTATCAGTAAAGAGGATGTTTTTTAAACATTTCTGTTGGCTAGAGAGTCCACGATCAGAGTGCCAGCATGATGTTGTGCTGGTGAGAACACTGTTGCAGGTTTCAGACGATTGCCTTTTTTGTCGTTGCATGGGAGAAAGAAAGCAAAGGGTCCGGAGTCCCTCCTATCAGGCACTAATCTTACTGGTGAGAGCCCCATCTCCCCTGACCTCCTCTCCTTGCCACGATTTCTGGGTGTAGAATACCAACATATGACTATTTGGGGGTAACCCATCATCCCATCATAGAGCTCTTCACTGTTGACCCCTGTGAAGATCAAGCTCCAACATTTTTGCTAAATACCTTGTCCTATTCATTCAGGTCATGCTTTATGTCATAATTATTTGTGCACATTGCCATCAGCTTATCTGACAGTGTCTCTCTCCACTAGTGTAAATCCTAGGGATTATGCATGGAATTTGTGGCAAAATAACTATGCCAGGACATAGATGGACCAAGTGATCAATAAGTATGTGCTGCCTGCATGCATTTGTAAGAAAGTCCATTTCTTGCAAAATTAATCAGAACTCTTGGTTTATGAAGGGCTTCTGAAGATGACACGTGTGACCATGACTCACTGGAGTTTCTTAATTAAGGGACTTTAAGTCTATCATTCAATGTAAATGAAAGAATATTCCTTTTAGAATGAGTTTGACCTGTGCTCAAATCCACCTCCACTTTTTCCTACTAATTAGTAAGAGTCAGAAGACTCAAGACTCCTTGTCACTGAGTCCTACCTTTATAAAGCAGTTTCTTAATAAAGAGTATTCATTGGACTCCTATGTTGTGCTTTTGTGAGGTCAGTTTTCTTACCCACGATCTATAGATAGATTGGATTCTGATTTCTAAGACTTTTTTAAGCGTTCAGTGAATCATATTTTGAACTCAATTGGTTGTTTGAAAGTAACTGAACAATTATATTATGTATTGTTGTTCCCAATACTGAATATGAGCCTTGAAATAGTGTATCATTGATATTTTAACACCCATAAGTAATAGCTTTTTCTTTGCCCAGTGCTTGAAGTGGTATATAAATAATTCAGAAACTATGATGGACAATAGAAAGATATTGTTTTAGAAGCATTTGTTGGCCTTTGTAACAATAATATGTCAACAGTCAGATATGCAGTGTAAGGATGTCAAATCTAATGTCAGTTCTCCAATGTGAAATATATGAATTATGGTCAAAAGAACACAGTGTGAAAAATTTAATTTCAGCCAAACAATTCAGGAGCTCTGAATAAGTGTATAAAGAAATATTGTGGAGAATCTGATTTCCGTCTAATAATTTAGAAGATAAGAATAACATTTAGAAGAAAATGGTATGAGAATTGAAAGTCCTTAGGCAAAAAGGGTTAGAAAACAATAGTGACTTGATGGCAATGGCTTTTCTTTTCCTTATTGATGAAGACAATTATGGTCTTCCTTCTCCCGAGTGATAACCGCATGGTTTAGTTGTTAAATAAATCAGGTTTAGGATTATATTCAATGCAGGAAACATTGATTGACTATTCATTTAGTTTCAATGATGTTTAAGTTGTAGAATAAATTTGTGCTAGGCCTAAGAAGAACTCTCAGCAGAAGGATATGTGACATCTCAAATCATACTGCTGAAGATTTCAGGAGCTTTGTCAGCTTCTCCTTTAACAGCAATTTTAATAAGTTTAATCAGATCCTCTATCTGTGCCCTGGCCTCTTTGGTTTCCTATCTACTCTTTGGAAGGAGAGTCTTAATGATATCTAATGGTTGTCAAATGGTCTATGTTGTGGTACAAATGATCAAGTCAGCCACCTCATTTCTAGGTCACTGTTGGTCTGTGGGAATTATTGGTTTAATATTTCGAATGGAGCTTTCACTTGCTAAATGATCCCATGAGTCAGCTGTGATTCCTCATAGATAATTGCATCCAGTTCTCCCAACATTTCTTTTCTTAAATTGATAGTCACTGACCAAGTACAGACTTCCTCTTAACATCAGTGGTAGTGTTCATTTTCCTTCAGGTTTTGCTAAACTAACAGCCATTATAGTAAATGTTTCTATGCCTTTTAATTGTTATTTGATGTTTTTATATACCCAACATTTCCACTCCTCACTGTTATTGTAATTGTTTATTGGAATATTGTGAGGAAGTAGTGAATCTAATCTTTCAGAGGAGAGAAGAAGAGGCCCAGTGGGTGGAGAACCTACTCCCAGCCAGTGAGAATGGGAATTTTGCTTTTATACTTACATTTTAAGTGATCTCTATTAAGTAAAATCAGATCTCGGGGGGGGGGTCTACAGTAGTGTGAGTTGGGGTAAACTGAAGTTGGTAGAGACACATGTCCTTCCCAATCCTTATTCATGAGGAGGTACTGATCTCTAGAAGAGGCAGCTCAGCATCAGTGTAGGTTTTGCACTAAACCAATGCAATAAACACCAGCAATTTTGTGCATTCTTGAAGTTGCTGTCTTGAAAGCCACAGGCAGCCACTGTCCATGTAGATGTTGAAGCTTACACAAGCATCTGGCATCGTCTGTGCCAGCCCAGTCCTCTGAACTTCTTCAGGGAGAATCATTAGTATTGTTCATGTAACCCAAAGAACTCTCATTGGGAGAGGATCCTGATACTAGATAACCCGTTCAATTACATTCTAATTGCTTACTGACGAGGAGGTAGACATGGTTTCCAGGGCCGAAGGAGGTATGGCAGCAATTGCTATAGCAGCAGAAGAGGAGGCAGGGACACATGAGGACACCAAACTGCAATTTAGACCCAAATTAAGACATTTCAGAATTTTAGCAGCTCTAGAACTTTTCTGGCGCAATCCCTCCTAAAAAGTATCTCCATCCATTATCATTTTCATGAAGATTAAAATAATTACTATATATAAAGTATTATTAAGGGTGTGAAGGACTATTTAGTAAGGGTTAGCTATTCTTATGATCTTCTTTCTGAGAACAATGTAAAACTGTGTTTTTGTTTTACTGAATGGGTGGCAGAAGGAAGAGCAAGATGAAAATGGCACTCAGTCCTGGGATCATCCTGCTTCTAGACCTTACTGTCATCCAAAGACCATTATCCCTCCAGGGACCATATTTTAGTTTATTTGAAAGTGATTTGACATTACTAAGAGAAATAGAGATGACATTTTAGCATTAAAAGTGTTAATTTTGTTGGAGGTCTTCTTGTCATTTCATTACTGGAATTTCATGCCTTGACACAAACACACTCCCTCCCTCCCTCCCTCCCTCCCTCTCTGTGGGTTCGGCGCTAGACTAATCTGCTTCTTTGTCTGTCTCCTTGTAGAACAGTGCCTATACTATGGAAGAGGCAATCTGCTGCAAAATATGTTAAAGGGACTGTTAAAGGGAGAGTATGGTTTGTTGCTAAATTCTATAAGAGACATGGTAGTTAATATCAGCCAAAGTGTGTTTTCCCAGGGAAGGGCAGGAGTCAGAGGAAAGGAAGCACTTTGTATTGTTGGCATAAGAGGGATAAGGTGCACTAAGGCTTCTCTTCATCTTTAGTGCTACAGGTAACCACCCCCCCCCTTGTAGTGCACTTTAGCAGCCAGAGGAGATTGAGTTACTTGAGTCTAGCCCAATGATGGTCATCGCTTCAGATGAAAAAGCCTTTCCTACAGTCTATGATAAGAATCAGCCTTGAAAGCTGGTTTAGTTCAAGATGACCAAGGATGGTATGTAAACAATTGTCACCCGTGTGCCGATGCTCTTATCTTTGTCATCTCTTGTCTTTGACATTTCTCTTCTTTCACTTTATCTAGTGACAGTTTCTCAAGTCAATGTCCCATCTCAGGAGATGCTTCTGAGAGTGTGATCTTTTAAGTTCCTTGCAGCTAGAAGGGTTAGTAGAGTGTGGCACTTCCCACCATATGAAGCAAGGCACGTCACTTTTCAGGTCGATTGGAGATCATCCCATCGGCTTCTCCCCTTCAACTTTCCACCACAGCCATCTCCCAGCTGAAGATCCTTCATCCCGTTCACAAACCTGCATGGGCTTTACTAGTAAGAAGCTGCAGTGAGTGCAATCTGCTGTGTCCTGGCCACTGGAAAGGCAAGGCTGGAGGAGGCGGTTAGCAGAACGTACAGGGCAGAAGATTGCTGCGAGTGGAGAATGAACTTCATTTATTTTGAGTGTATTCATGTATATTGTCGAACAAGTCACACCTACACACATTTGCTTGTGTGCTTCTACGGGATGGGGGATTATAGCTTATAGAAATCTACAGTCCTAAACAGCAAACAATGAATATTGAGGATCACAAATTAAAACTTATCATTTCTCTTCGTTTCCTTGCAGAACTTTGTGCGTCATCACTGGGTCCACAGGCGGCGGCAGGAGGGGAAATGTAAGCAGTGTGGTAAGGTAAGGGCCCAGCCACCCATGGCCACTGCAGCAGGCTTCTCAGGCCTTGACAAGCCCTCAAGGTAGATGAGTCCTGTCTCTAAATGTGATGTCTCCTCCTGCATCTTTTTTTTTTTTTTTCTGGTAGGCCTTCTTTCTCTGGATCTCCTTTTTGGTTCTTCTAGATGTGTCTATAATCAGTGAAAATATAAATAAAAGGAAATGATTTTTTTCCAGAGAAATGGCTACATTGAGGCAAGGACCTGTTGAATTTTGAAAAGGGAAGTTTGCCTGTTTTGTTAAAGTCCTTCATGAAGACTACTGCCCCATCTTATTCATTCAATCAGCAATAAAAAAAACATTAAAAAATAAGATAAAAAAGAGGGTGATACACAAGTGTGTACCTATAAATGGTTATATATAACATTATGCAGACTGTCTAGAATACTACATGGTCTGAAGCCAGAAATGTGTTGCTTTCTTAAGACACTGTCCAGTCTCTGGTTAAAAAAAAATGGTTTCTTCAGTGGTGTTTCTGTTCACCCCTCAGGATTTAGGGGTTCGTGAAGAGTGAGGCAGGTCAGGGGTAGTAGACAGTGTGACTAATGCCTTAAAATGCTGCACATTCTCCCTTGTGCTGACATCAACTAATTTGAGATGTAGCTTTTCCCAGTGTGCAAAGACTGACTTTAGAGACGCTGTGTTCTTCTGGGACCATGAGACTGTAGGGCTCAGCCTGGATTCTACTGAATGGTATCTACTGAAGCAGATGAGCAGTCAGGATGTATCTTTACAGAGTGGTTTAATTTGAGAGAACAGGGAAGGGAAAGGTTGTGGAAGACGAGACTGATGCCAGGTTAACCCTTGTTATGTAACTGTGACCACACCCAAGTGGGCACGGTCAGCAATACCTATAATCAGGGTTTCTCCCTACAGCAGGATAGCTAGTTGTGGAGTCAAGGATGTGATTGTGGTGACGCCCCAGTGAATGCTTTTCTGTAAGGGAAGATGGCAAGCTATTGGTTGGATAAATTCCTGCAACACTCTCCTTTCTTTGGAAAAGTACCATCCTGGAGAACTCTGTGTCTCACACCACTCAGCAGTTCAGGTCACAATAGAGTTGGAGGGATTTCATTTAGTGAGAACCCATAAACACAATGTCTTTTTGTGAGGAATAGTCATTCTCTGGAGCCACATTGCACCTTCTTTGTAGCCTCCTTTTATGGTGGCTGAGTCAGCCAGTAGGGAAGTACTGTGTTCTCTGTACCCCACAATGTCATGGCCTTGCCTCCTCCTCTTTAGCAGCATCCACAAGTGTTCACAGCTTGCTGAACAGCATGGGTATCAGTGGACATGTCCTGATCCATCACACAATGTTTGCATAAAAATAGTGCTGTTGTGGTCATCTCCTGCATTTATATTCCTGTTGCCTGTAAATTCTTAGACTTGGGCAGTTATGAGATGGATACTTTTAGATGTGTGTTTCCTTGATGGATAATAAATAACTCTCTGTGAATTCCCCCTTCTACCCTAGACTGGAGGCAAACTAATGTCTGCTTCCATTTACAAAGGAAGGCATTGAAAAGTCATGTCAAGTCCAGGTGCTTTACGTAACTTCTATTAGTACTGTTGTCAATTCTTATGCTTTCTTAGATTCTAAACCCTACCCAGCCTCTCCCTTATACACAGGCAGACATGTATACACACACACACACACACACACCGAGAGAGAGAGAGAGAGAGAGAGAGAGAAAGAAAGAGAGAGAGAGAGAGTGCTTAGAGGAGAAAAGAGAATGGAGGGTGGGTGTGTTTCATAATTCTGTAACTTATTCATTGGGATAGGGTTAAAAAATAATCACTTCACTTAGGGAAACTTCTTTTTTTTTGTTTAAACTTTTGTGTGTGTTTCTGGTGGGTTGTAAACCTTGGGAATTTTAGAGGAATGTTAGTGAGTTATCAATGGTTTTAATTTCTGCTTTTTAATTCAACAGTAAAATAAATATTTGGAGTGGTGTTCTCTTGAGCCTTGAATGTGCATTTGGCTATGTGCGCATGGTTGTTAGTGGCTATCTCAGGAGAGAGCCCCTGATGCAATCACAGAATTCTTTAACATGAGCTGAACCCCAGCCTACCAAGTGTATAACCATGGTGTATAGTATTACATTGCCATTCATAGTTCTGTGTTATGAAAGAGGCAGAGTGGAGTCAGAAAAGAGATGAGATATCAGTCAAATCATTCAATCTGATGAGTGTTTGATACATAAAGAAAATATGTAAAATGGTGTGGTGGGGAAACCAGAAAAGATGGTGAGGATCCCAAAGATGACTGCTGACAGGGGACCAAAGAGACTGGAGCCTGTGAGGATCAAAGTATTCACCAGCTGAGATGTCCTGACAGCTAGGGACATACACATCCCCATTTGCTTCCAGGCAATAATGGCCAAAGCCAATGCAAAGTAGAGCCAAGGGCCAGTCTAATGATGAATATAAGTGGAGTCAGAGAGAAAGCGGGCGTGGTCAGTGGTACCTGTAATCAGGGTTTCTCCCTACACCAGTCCATAAAGGCCAACTTTGTGTTATGGGATATAGGGTCTGCCATCCATGGTTAAAGCCAGCATGCATGCTGCGTCTGCCTGTAACTAACTATTTGCCACCATACCCACTGTGTTCATTTAACCCAAATGCACTCAGTAATGAGTTTTCTGAAGTTCTTTAGAATATCAAAATGCAGAGGAAAAGTATAGTAATGATCACAGCTGACTGGACCCTCCAGTCTTTCAGAATGCCAGGCATTTAAACCTACTTACTAGTGTGTGTAACTATAGAGACATGCTTGTCAATCACAATCTGAAAACATATCTTTCATTTCTTTGTTCAAGAACATAAAAAAAAATTGCCAAAAAACCCCAGCTGCTTTTTAAAATTCACAAGTTGATTTTTTAGATATTTAGTATTTTTAAAGTATTAGGCAGAGTTTATAGCATTTTAAAATGTTACTTATATTTTATGTTTAGGTGTTTTGCCTGCACGTATGTCTGCACAGCATGTGTAAGAAGTACCCACTCACTGAGGCCAGAAGAGGGTCTCACATTTCCTGGAATTGGAGTTACAGACAGCTATTAGCCCCCATGTGATGCTGGGAAGTGAGGCCACTGAGCCATCTCACCAGCTACCAAACACCAAATCTTGAAAACAGTTTTTTATACCATGATACTTAGTGATACATAGGCCTGGAGTTCTGATGCTTTTCAGTTCCCTAACTAGACATCAGTATGAATTATTTATTCATGGGCCATATACTTTCCTATGTATGCACTTCAGATATGTGTGTGTGTGTGTGTGTGTGTGTGTGTGTGTGCAACAGGAAATGGTTAAAACACTAATTGGAGATGAATCTGAGGAGTAGTATGTAAAACACATACTTAAAGGACATGTAATAACTTTTGTAATAGGTAGATGAGAGGATAATTAAAAACATTCTATCGGGGTACGATTGAGATAGCACAGTGAAAGAAAGGGATTATAGATGGAGAAATAATAGCAAATACTCTCCTGGAATATTGGGGGTGATGTTCCAGTAAAGAAATGAAAGGCCCATTCTATAGTGACCTGAAAATGTGTGTATCAACTTTCTGGTTGGGATGACGTGCGTGAGTGAGTCTGTGTGCACTGACCGGTTAGGCAGATTTTGTTGTTCATCTGCCTGTGTGTTTGTCCTGCTGTAACAGAAGTGGCTTTTTTAACACTAGCAGTGGGAAGGTCTTGGAGGCAGAACGAGGGTATAAAACCTGACTTGAGCTCTCCACTTGGCCCTTGCTAAGAGAAATGCGAGAAGCCTGGCCTTTGTCCTGTCTGTAGCTGAGAGCAAGAGACGATGGGGGCAGCCATCTCACTCTTAGGTGCAGTGCAGAGGTGGTTTCATGGTGTCCTCCTTGCCACCTGGCCATTTCACGTAGTGTAATATCATTTGGGTTCATGCAGAGAGGAGGAGATGGAGGCTGAAGTCAAAGGGTACAAAGTTTCAGTCATGTAAAACCTGTAAGTCCTAAAGATCTACTGTGGAGTATGGTCCCCAGAGTCAACAGGGTTTGTGTTGGATACATGACATTTTGCTAAGAAGGTTGATCTTATGTAAACAAACTTACTTCCTCACTCTCTCCCTCTTCCTCACCTTTCTTGGCTTCCTTCCTTCCTTCCTTCCTTCCTTCCTTCCTTCCTTCCTTCCTTCCTTCCTTCCTTCCTTCCTTCCTCCCTTTGTGTGGTGCTTGGAATTGAACCTGGAGCTTCTGGCCTGCTAGGCATCCATTGTGCCGCTAAGCTACACCCCCAGTCTTTATGTAAGCTTTCTTATTTCTGAAAATAAAGCAGGTGGGAGAAAGCTTTTGGAGGCTATGAATATGTTATTGGCACAGTTTGTGGAACTGGTTTCACAGGTATATGCTTATCTCCAAGCTCATCAAGTCGTATATTTAAAATCTACAGCCTTTTGCATTTTATTTGCATCACAAAAGCATTAAAAATAAGGAGACAAGATGTCCAGGTTTTTGCTGCAGGCTCAGGTGGATGTATTCTTTGGTTTCACCCTGCAGAGCCATTTTGTGGTTGCTACTCTCCTTCTGACTTTGGCCTGTCAGTTTTCTCATAGGTACAGTCCATGAAGTACCGTGGTTACCCAGAATCCTTTGTTCTTTCTTCAGTAGTTTCCCCCTCTCACATTCCCTTCTGGTTGCTGCTGCTGGGGCCGTTGGTGTTTGTGAACTCAAGTCACCATACATGGAACAGAGTCCAAAACTGCAGGGCCAAGCCAGAATCGAAACCTTCCTAATGTCCTTTCTGCTCTGGCTCTTCTGATCCCAAGGCACATGGTCCTCCCATCCTTCTTTTACGTCCTTCCTTTAGTGGGTGTATATCTTACCTTTCCCGGTTCCCCAGAATCTGACTCTAAGCGTAAGCCTGGCAAAAGATCGTTAGTTTTGATTTCTAGCCTTTTGTGATCCTGATCTCAGCACGCATTCTCTATG